GTGTCCCCAGGTGGCTTCAGGTGTGGCTGTGGTGACTGTACAGCTGCTTTCTGGTGAAACAGGGCTAGTGCTGGAGTCACCACAGGACAACAGAGAGAGCAGGGGCTTTCCTGGAAATCCTCTCCAAAGTTTTTCCCCAGGAATTCTGCAGAAGCTCCTCTGTTAATTTGGCACTGGAGTGCTCATCTGCCTCCCCAGCTCTGGAAGTGTCTTGTAGACACAGGTGTTCCTCTTAGCTGGCTCTTGAGGGGATGTTTCCCAAACTGAAATCCCAAATTGAAAACTGACAGAGCCTGTGTGATGTGTCTGTCTCCATCCATCATGATGATGATTTTGTTGGCTCTTGCCAAACTTTGGCATTCCCTGCACACATCTAAATAGTGATCCCACACGGTGTTGTGGACCCAGGGCAGTGACAGCTCCAGACAGGGAATGTCCTGTGGGTGGAAGAGCTGCTGGAGAGCTGCCATGAGCATCCTCAGAACTACAGCATGGCCCAGCCTGCCATGACCCACACTGCAGCAGTTACAGGAACAACCTGTTGCTCAGAAATGAGGCATTCTCAAATGCATGAGGCTTTTCCAAGGAAAAGGAAAGGGCAGGGGGCAGAGCCCATCTCAGGAGGGCTGAGCACCTGTCCAGAATATCAGGAAAATAAAACTCTCCCAAAGCTATGTTGCTCCTTCTATCCTGTTTAACAGCTTTTCTCAGCCAGGATGGTGCTTGGTAAGGGATTAGCTTCTGGAACACTTAAAGCTGCTGTGGGGTTGCATCAGGAGAGGTGGCTCTGGTTGCCCTCCCAGCTGCCAGGACTCAAGAGGTGTCTCCATACAGGCACTGCCATCTATCTGCATCTCCACAAAGTGTTAGTGACATCTGACATGGCCAATGGAAGACAAAACCACTCCATGCAGGACCTGAAGGAATGTCAGGAAGCTATGCTGGGGGAGATTTAGGTTGGATGATAGGAAAAGGTTCTTCCCCTCCAGAAGTGGTGGAGCACTGCCCAGGCTCCCCAGGGAATGGGCACAGCCCCAAGGCTGCCAGAGCTCCAGCAGCATTTGGACAATGCTCTTAGGGGTGCACAGGGTGGGATTGTTGGGGTGTCTGTGCAGGGCCAGGAGTTGGACTGGATGATCCTTGTGGGGTATTGTGTGATTCTGTGATTCCATGATTCCTGGGAGGGCAGACACCCATCGGTGACAGTGACAAACCTGGGGAGCAGTGTGGACATGTGGCTGCCACTGGCAGCAAGGGCAATCATCCATACCCCTGGCAGCTCTCAGGTGCTTCAAATTCCCTGAGTGTGACTCCCACACCACATCCAGGTGGTTCACTTCAGTAGGGAGGGTTCCACCTTTTCCTTCTGAGGCTATTGTGGGAATCACAAGTGAGCTGTGAGGCCCTGCATAAAGGAATCACAGATCACAGCCAATGTCCTGGTTGGAAATGAGAGGAAAAAAATATATACAAGGATTACATGCAAGAAATGGCTTTCCTGCACCCTCCACAAAGCCATTAAACAGATTCTAACAGGCTCATTTTATAAAACACTGATATGAAGCTGGAAAGGAAACTTGAGGCTGCTGCATAGTACAGACCTGACTGAAGGCACTTCAGATATCAGTCCAAGTGTGCAAAGAGCTTTTTGCTCTCCAGCTCCCACAGACCCAAAAAGTGACCACAACCTATCACCAGGAATTAGGGGATGAGGTGGGGCCTCATCAGGGCTGTGGGGATACCTGACCCCTGCTCTGGAACACTGAAAGATCCATTAGTGGCACTGCAGGGCTGTGGATGTGCCATGGATTGTAGGTGCAGCCTGGAGAGGCCACGTGCTCCCAGGCCTCAGGGGTTCTCCTGTTCCCTCCATGCACTTCACAAGCCCAAATGCATTATTTAACTGCTCTCTTTTTAAAAGACTGGGGCAGAGGTTTGCCTAAGATGATTATTGCTACTGCTTGCAGAATTAAACTGTGGATTAAAATAGGTTTTATTTAATTAACCTGAATGAAATAAATGCTTGTGTCTGATTGTCTCAGGAGAGGTTCAGATCAGACAGTGCCAGTAAAACTTACTCACCTGTGGTGGATGAGCACAAAAATCTCTCTGTGGCATCTAGAGAAGATTTCTTAATCTCCTTAGCCTGTCTCAGGGATAGGCTTGGCTGCCAATAGTGCAGCAATGCAGGGCTGGGATTTCAGAGCTGGATGGTTGGAATCATGCTTGGATATTTCATGTTCCAGTGGAAGTGAAAGCAGCCTGGGATTCAGTGAACAAAAGTACCACAAAGTCCTGGATGTTGCTCTTCCTCAAGTCCTGCTGCTGCCCTCACAAACACACAGCCCAAGTGCCCTGATCCTGAGTTTCCTCAGGCCAGCTGCATGCAGAAAATCCATGAATTCCAAGAACTGCTCCATCTGAGTGCTTGTACAGCCAGCTCTAAAATCCTCATGCACCACCTCTGTCCTGGCTGTCTGTGGGTAGGATGGCAACTAAGTGCTGAGACAGAGGGAAGTGCAGTGGGATGATCTGCCTAACCTGTTTGTCCCACATGTTTCCTGAAAAGTGTGTGCCCACTGACCCCAAACAATGCATCTTCAGCCCTTCCCTTCCCTGGAAGTGTGGCAATCAGGAGGGGAGGGAGTTCAGTGCCACCCATCACAACACAAGGGCATCACCACAAACCAGGGTTCATTTCCAGTGTGTTCCACAGAATCATGGAATCATTAAGGCTGGAAAAGCTCTCTAACTTCGAGTCCAACCATTAACTTGGCACCACCACTGGCTCATATCAGGAATGGGGTGTCCAGCAGCCCAGGGCAGTGACTGCCCCTCTGTGCTGGCACCTGGGAGGCACCTCCAGCCCTGAGGACAGCAATTCAGGAAGGACATGGAGGGGCTGGAGTGTGTCCAGGGAAGGGAACAGAGCTGGAACACCAGGAGAGGCTGAAGGAGCTGGGAAAGGGGCTCAGCCTGGAGAAAAGGAGGCTCAGGGGGAACCTTCTGGCTCTGCACAACTCCTGACAGGAGGGGACAGCCGGGGGTGGTCGGGCTCTGCTCCCAGGGATAGGAAAAACAGCCTCAAGTTGTGCCAGGGAAGGCTTAGGCTGGACATCAGGAGGAACTTCTCCACTGTAAGGGTGGACAGGCACAGGAAGGGGCTGCCCAGGGAGGTTTGGAATTCCCCTCCCTGGAGGTGTCCAAGGAATGCCTGGACATGGCACTCAGTGCGTGGGCTGGGTGACAAGGTGGGGTGTCACAGCATACCTTGCAGTCAAGGGGCCATGATATACAGAGTATCACCACACAACTTCAGAAAGCTTTAAGCAGTTGCCCAAGCAGAGTAACACCTTACCCCACCAGAAAGCTTCAGGCCCCTCCCCATAGTGAGTAACACTGTCACCTCAGAAAACTTCAAGCATTTGCAGCTCTTTATTGCTGTACAGTACAACTTTTATACTCTTCATGCCACACGCAGTACCCCTGTGTGCCCTCTGCTCCCTTTGGAGGTTGCTCAGGGCCCCTGGGCACTCCATGGCTCATTGCTGTCAGTGCTGCTCACAGCTGTGCCCACTGGGGATGAGGCTCAGCCCCACCCCAATCACCACACACTGTGTTGCCTACAACACTGGGGATCAGTCACAGTGTTGACTCGATTGGACTCGATGATCTTGGAGGTGTTTTCCTACCTCAGTGATTCTGTGATTTTGTAAACTACGTCCTTAAGTGCCCCACTGACACACCTGAACCCTTCCTTTTGCAGCAGCACCCAAACAACCAAACACACAACACTCAACCCCCATCCTGCAGTTGTTCCTGTTGCCAAATAAGGTGGAAACACACAGAAAAACACTGGGAAACACTGCATTAATCCCTTTTTCTGGGCTAAGCACACTGCTTCTCCAGAATTTTTTATTCCAGTTCTCCCATGCTGTTACAGCCCTGAAGATACAAACTGGAGGTTTTCCTGCACCACATCATACGGTGGTGTAAAAACCCAGCAGTGCAGAAGATTCCTAAAGGACTTTGGCTCTGTAAAAACGAATCCTGAACCACTTGAGTCCCAAGGCTGATTCAAAGGTGAGTGTTACTTTTCTTATTGCCACATGGGATAAGAGGAGTAAAAAACTGTAGTGTTGTATTAGTCATTCTTGAGATAGTTATTAACTATTATTTGTACAATAGTTCAAGGGCTGAACTATCACCTGTTGGAATGTTTAGGAACTGATTGAGGAGAGAAGGGGCCAAGGATACAGATGGGGAGCGGGCAGAAATGGGTGAGAGGGCATAAATTATATATTTATTATAGAAAATGTAGATGTATTTTATTTATGCACACTGCATACATGTATAGATAGAGGGGTATATGAAGATATATGTGTAAAGTCATATAAACCACCCATGAGTGTATAAAATTATACACTCATGTTATTCCAAGGGGGAATGGGGTGAAACTGAAGGAGTGGGTTTAGATTAGCTATTAGGGGGAAAAAAAATTCCCTGTGAGGGTGGTCAGGCCCTGGCATAGGTTGCCTAGAGAAGCAACCTGTGCCCAACACTGGATGTCTTCAAGGCCGGGCTGGACAGGGCTTGGAGCAACCTGGGGTAGTGGAAGGTGTTGGGGTTTGGAATGAGATGGGCTTTCCCCACGCAGCCCAAACCATTCCGCGGTGATCCTTCCACATAAACATACACCCGCAAAGGCGCGGCTGTGTGTACACAACACTCTCTAACAGGACATAATTAAACGGCTGATGGGATTTACCCGTAAACACGAGCAACCACCGGAACGCGCGCTCGGCCGGGCGGGGCCCGGGGGCTGCGGCGGAGCCCGGCCCGCGGCAGGGCGGGGAGCAGGCGAACCCAGCCCCGGAGCTGCGGAGCCGCCCCGGCC